ACTACACAGCGCTTGTTGGTGGATGAGGCAATGTATGGCTATTGGATGAGAATGGCTATGTTTGTCCATCTCTTGGTTAATGCTAGCAATTACTCCTTTCTTAGACCCCACCATGCTAGGAGCACCATCAGTTGTCACACTGGCTAGTTTAGCCCAGTTCAGCTCCAAACTATTCACAGTTTGGCAAACTTTTTCATAGATATCCTCTCTTCTTGGTTCTTTCGGTAAAGTCACGTAGAAGGGAAGTAATAAAATAATAAAAATAAAACATAACAAAATAATTTGCATATCAAGAGGAATTTAGCATATTTATGGGAAATGCAGGAATGTGATTAGTACTACATATGCAGCACGGGCATATGTAGTACTAATCACATTCCTGCATTTCCCATAAATATGCTAAATTCCTCTTGATATGCAAATTATTTTGTCAAGGCGCTCTTTCCCCCGTTTCCAACCCAGCTTATATATGCTCCAAGCTCGTGTGCTGTTTCATTCAGACGCTGTTTCCCCGACAGACCTGGTTTTCACCTGAGGACGGCTGCTTGTGTTGTGGCCGAAACGTCGTGAGAATTATTTTATTATGTTTTATTATTTTGTTATTTCCCTTCTATGTGACTTTACCGAAAAAACCAAGAAGATGAATCCCTGCAGTCACGAAAGCTTTAAATCGAAAGATATCCTCTCCTGTAGATGTTCCTTTGATGCTTTGCAGTGCAGCAAGCTCTTCTGTGACTTCGAAATACTCATTCGTCCCACGAATAAAAATTAGAAGTTGTGCAGAATCACGAACATTATTGCTTTCGTCGAGTGCCGAGGAAAAATAGGAAAGTTTTTTTGTGGAGTTTTGCAAATGCTGATGCAAATTGTCTCCCATTTCTTCAATCCTCCGTGTAATTGTAGGTCCTGAAAGACTCACTGTACTAAATAAATCGGCCTTCTCTGGACACATCTCTTTGGCAACAGAAAGAAGGCATTCTTTAATAAATTCTCCCTCCACGAATGGTCTGCCAGTGCACGCTATTAGCTTGGCAACTTGAAAACTTGCTCGCAGTGATGAAATATTTATCTGCTTCTGCTTCACAAAAGTATTTTACTGAGTTGTTAATGTATTTTTCAGTTTTAATATTTTATCTTTTCTCACTTCTCCGACCAAACAATCATATTTATCTTTATGTTGAGTTTCATAGTGTCGACGTAAATTGTATTCTTTGAACACAGACACTATATTCTGGCATATCAGACACACAGCTCTTTCCTTGTACTGCATGAAAAAGTAATCATAAGTCCACTGTTATTTGAATATCCTACACTCCGAGTCAATTTTTCTCTTTCTTGACATCATTGTTTCCTAGGGAGTCAAAATTGCTATTAGTAAAATACCAATATATATAGTGCTACAAAAACAATATACCAGCAATAACTTTGCCCACACAGAGACATACAGACTGCACTGCCCATCAATGCAGTCTGATTGGGGGAACTCCGCCCCCTCTCCCTCTTCCACCAATGACCGTCCTTCTCATGTAGAAAAAAAGTAACAGACAGGCAGCGGCGGAAAAAACACCCGGCGGGCCGGATAAATGTCCTCGGCGGGCCGCATGTGGCCCGCGGGCCGTAGTTTGAGGACCCCTGGTGTAAATGGTGCAGGAGAAGTAAAATTATCCTTAGGAGTGTAAGAATGAGTGCGAGTGGATGAATGATGTGACACGACCTGCCGGGTGTCCGATTTGTGCCGACTCGCCCGAGGTTGTTGCAGTTCCGCAGCAGGTGGAGGAGATGGAGGTCCCCTTGGCGGAAGAGGCGACAGCAGAGGTCGGCAGCGGCAGTCGAGGCGAAATGGCCTCGTCTGCCGCACTTGAAACACGCGGCCGTCGTCGGCCGGCGGTCGGATGACCCGGCCCCCGCACGTGGACGGCCTGCGTAGTCACCATGCTGGTCGCGCAGCCGCCGTCCCGGAATCCCATGCGGAACAGCAGCAGCCAGCACGTCGTCGTCGCCAGAGTCGTCGGAGCAGTGGACGACCCGTCGTGGAGACCACCCCAAGGGCGGCCCGTCGATTTCGGGTTTCCCCGTCCACGCCGCCATCTGGTCCCAGCGCTTGATGTTAAACTTAGCGTCCAGGCAGCGCGCCACCCATCGCGATGTAAGCGGCTCGTGGCCGCACACTGGTAGAGAAATGTTGAGCTCCTGAGACAACTCCAGCATCCAGCATACGGGAAAGGATGAGAGGATCCAAATGATCGGCCATCGCGTCGGGATAGGCAGCCATGGCCAGCGCCATCAACGCCCCCCGATAAGCCAAAGGCGACTCCTCCGATCCTCGGCGATGCGACATAAATTTTCTGGTGGCTGACGTCGGTGGGTCGTAAAATTCCGCCATCTCTGCGAATGCATCTCGCAGTGTCTTCTTCTTGGATGCCGGGATGGAGCGGAAGACCCCCAGAGAAACATCATCAAGCAGTGTAGGTAGCACTCCCAGCGCCTCCTCCTCCGTCCAATGCACGGATCTAAAAGCTGACTCGAAGCGCCACGTAAAAGCACTCCAATCGCCCTCGGCGAGAAATTCTTTAATCTGTGGAAGGCGATGTCTGCGGTGGCAAGCGCGCGCCGCGGGCGTCTCCGACTGCGGTTCCCGCGCTCCACCCGTCGCAGGCAAAATGGCGTCTGGCGGCCGCGTGGCGGCAGGCGCGCCCAAAATGGCGGCCGACGGCTCCAGCGCAGCCACCCCGCCCAAAACGTCGGCTTCTTCCCGCGTGGCAGGAGCAATGGCGGACTCCGATTTTTTTGTAGGACCCCTTCCCGCGGCGTCCAGCTGATCCGCAATCTGGCGACCCACGGCTGGTGAGGACGCTACCGCGGTCACCAGACTCAGCAGAATGGCGCGTAACGACTCGATCTGCTCCGCCATCAGCCGCCATCCGTCTTTCATTCCTGCGGTGGTCGCATCTTCTCCCAGTTGACGCTGAGAGGCGTCGAGGAGAGCAGTATCAGCAGGCGGCATAGGGGCTGTAGCCCCCAACAGCTCATCTTCGTCCGTCTCGGCCTCTTCCTCCGATGGAGGCTCGGGCAGGTTCTTTTTTCTGAGGTGCTTGGTCATCTTGACGATCGTCCAAACGGTCGCAGAAGAACTTCTGACACCAATGTAATAAACCTTCTTGAGACGGCTTCCGGAATCAGTCCTTTTTATTTTCAACTTCCACAGTTACACTTCACACACTCCCCGTTGCTGACAGACAACGGAAAGCGGGCAGACTTCCCGCCAAGTCCCCACCGCGTACGTGGCACCCAGAGCCCCGTACGCGCGTGACTCGTGCTATTCTCGTTCCCAAGTCTGCTCCCGACTTCTCTCTCCCTCTCTCTCTTAATCCCTTCGTCACGTGGTACCCCCCAGCCAATCCTCCGTAGACAGCGTTGACCGTTCCCGATGGTTCCCTGTCAATCCCGGGACCACGCCTCTGATCCGGCTTCCCATTAGCTGAGGCCCCGATTGTCCAGGCCAATCACCCCTGCTAACATGCCGTGATCACGCCGAGGCCATGCTCCCTGGCTCACCCCTTATTGGCTACAAAGCGGGACCGGCAAGCCAATCCCCACGTGAACCCTCTATGGCTGTTATTACACAAAGCTGTGAGTGTCCATCGCCAAGGTCTAGTCCATTGCAAAGGTCTCGTCAAAAAAACAGGCAATAGTCTACATTATAGACTGCCAATACACTCGCCGAGGTTAAGAACCAGGCTACAGTCGACATTATAGACTGCCAGTACGCTCACCGAGGTTAAGAACCAGGCTACAGTCTACATTAGTCGTTTTTTTTCTTCTATTCACTTTATTTGTATTATTATTTTCTATCTACGTGACTTTACTGAAATAACCAAAGAATATGAATTCCTGCTGTCACGAAAGTTTTAAGTCAAGATTTTCCCAGGGAGGTGATCTTTTTCTAGAACATATGCAAGGCCCCATTTCATCATGGAATTCAACAGGTACGGAACAAAATTTTATAAGAATGGAAACAGTCAGGAAATTACCACTGCACATATGCAGCTTAAGTTAGATTTGTTCATCCTCGCATTCAAGCTCATCTGAGCCTGGCTTCACACCTCTAAGTTGCAAATGAACATTAATTTATACATTTCTGCATAATACAAATAGTATTCTTTTCAACAGCCTTTGCTATTGTAGTAGTGTTCACGACTCTTGGACGCCGGAGTTGGAGGCACACGGGTTTATTACACACAGCACGGTTGTGACATACAACACTAGAGGGGGTGTTGGCCCCCTCACCCGGCTAGCTGGGGATACACGCGCTAGCTACTTCTAGCCTGCCTCCTAGTCCTCCTCTAACGGGCTAGGGGAGGCTGTCTGGCCCGACACTGGTAAGTCGGGCCCGGTACCCTGAGTCCCAGACCAACTCTGACAAGAGCACCGGCTCTGGACCTCGGGACCACGCCGCTGGCTCGGTCCTGTTTGGCCCTGATAAGGACGGCGAACCAGGGGAGTCCAGGGCTCTAGCTAAGACGTCTTCAGTCTTCACTGGTTAGCTTAATATGACTCCCGAGCCCTTTGATACATCCCCTTTTATACCCAACCCCCCGCTGAGGGGTGGGGCCCCGGGGGATCCTAACTCCGAATCAGCCCCCCAGGGTGCCTGGCGCGGACGTCGTAGAGAGCACCTCCCCGTGCACTCAGTAGTCCCGCCCACTGTGTTTGTTTGCCATAAGCTGCCATGCATAACGGGCTCTCTCTCTAACACCCCTACATCACCCCCCCCCCCCCCCCCCGCATAGCTTGCAGCCGTCCCGGCTGCCAACATACAAAAAAAACAATAAAAGTGCATTTACCCCCGACCGCGCGTGTGCCTCACTATTTTTCAACAATAACAAGAACAACAACAAGAACACAACAAGAACGCAACAGCAAGAAGAGAAAACAACCCGACGCACCCCCCCCCCCCGAATAAATACGAATTCCGTAAAAACAGCCTATATACAATTTGCAGGGAACCCACCACACACACAGCACATGGTGAACCCAACATGTGTACATCCAATGAGCAGGGAACACACCACCCACACAACACACAATGAACACAACCTATGTACACATCTTCCGGCCTCACAACAGTCTGCGCATTTTAGCACGCGTCCTTGCAGCGGGCCCCTCACACGGGGTAACCCCGGGCGGCGGACCGTCAGGTGGCAACTGTCCGTCTCGGAGTGAGTCCTCATCCAACGCCGCGTGACCCTTGGCATCCTCCGGAGGGGTGATTGGGCGTGAGCCCGTCACTCCTGATGCACCTGGAGGTGGCACAGCCGGCAAGGCATTAGGTGAGAGCGACGGAGACGGACCCAGTGAGTCGGTCGACCCCCCACATGTTTGGCCATGCGTGTGTGAAGTGGGGATATGTACCGCAACGAAGGGTTTTAATCTAGAGGGGTGCACGAACCACCGCCGCTTCCCCCATTTGATGCGCACGCACTGCGGTCGCAAAACCTCGACCACCTCCACAGGGCCCCGCAACAGCCGCACCAGCTTAGAGGAGGTTGCTAGTGGCACCTGGGGACAGTGCAGCCATGCCTTGTCCCCCGGCTTCCACTGCAGCATGTGCGCCCGACCCAGTCTGAGCCGCTCATTCGCTTTCTGACGGAGGTCAGAGTTTTGCATGGCAGCATCCCGTGCCTCTGTTAATTTGGCCAGATTAAATTTTACATGGTCAGCCAATTTAGTTTTACCCTGCGGCGCGGGGATCTGCAGCTGGGCACGAACGGGTGGGTCAGGTTCGCGGCCGTACATGAGGTAGAAGGGTGAAAATCCCGTAGCTGCATGGGGTGCCATCCGGTACGCCGCCAAGACCCCTTGAATTTGCAGGTCCCAATCGGTCTGTGAGTCCGAAACCTGCTGTGACAACATTGACGTGATGGTGCGATGCAGACGCTCGACCATCCCGTCAGTTTGCGGGTGATACGGGGAGGTACGAATTTTCTTCGTGCCCAGGAGCTCACAGACTTGTTTGAGTAGTTTACCGGAAAAATTTCTGCCCTGGTCGGTCAGCAGCCGCTCCGGAGCACCTTTGTCCAGGACGTATCCCTGAACAAAGGCCTCCACGATGGCTGCTGCCGACTGGTTGGCAAGGGGCCAGGCCATAGGCCAGCGTGTAAAATACTCCACACCAGTCAACAAATATCTATTGCCCCTGGGGGTGGCGGGGAATGGGCCCAAAATATCCAGCGCGACAAGCTCGTTTATTCTGGACACTTTGATTCATTGCAAGGGTGGGTTAGACTCCCGTGCCGGCGGTTTTTGTTGCGCACACCGAGGGCATGACCCCAATATATCCCCGACATCCCTCGTCATGCCAGGCCAAAAAAAATCAAGTTGTAGCAAGGCGAGGGTCTTTTGGGTCCCCAGGTGTAGGAGGCGCTTATGAGCGGCCCACACCACCTTGCCCCGCAACCCAGAAGGGACCACCAGCCGGTGTCGATGGGATTTCCCGTCCCAATGCATCAGCAGACCTTGCACCATTTCCCATGCGTCGGAATCACCCCTCCCCCGCCCAGCACAGCCGACACGACGACGCCACCCGAGGAGGGAGGTATCCTCCATCTGGAGGCGCCCCCATTCAGTGACGGGCAACCCCAACAGGGAATCTTTTCCCTGTTGTTCGATCGAATTAGTAATCAATGTTTCGTTGTCGGCGGCGGCCGCCAAGACCGGAACCGATATGTCCCCTGGAGGCCTGCAACGTCCAGACCCCAGGAGGCATGCACATTCGGAGGTGGTTGGCATGCGCGACAGAGCGTCCGCATTGGTGTGGTGAACGCCCTTACGGTAGGTGGTTTCAAAATCAAAGTCCTGGAGAATCTCCAACCATCGAGACAATTGTCCCGATGGTTGTTGAACTCGCAGGGCGTACTGTAGTGCCGCATGATCTGTGCGGACGGTGAAATGCCGACCGTACAGATATGGGCGATACTGTTGGATGAAATAGACAATTGCCAACAGTTCCCGACGGGTGACACAATATCTTTGCTCCGCAGGAGACAACACCCGACTACCGTACGCGACCACCCGTTCCACGCCGTCAACCACCTGGGAAAGCACGCCCCCAATACCCGTGTTGCTCGCATCGGTGTCGAGCAAAAAGGGCTTAGAAAAATCGGGGTAAACCAAGGGAGGAGCTTTTACGAGAGCGTCCCAAAGGGAGCGGAAAGCAGCCTCCTCCTCCTGTCCCCAGTGGAACTGAACCCCTTTTGACGTTAAAGCGTGTAGGGGTTTCGCAATCGTCGCAAAATCCGCGACAAACCGTCGGTAATACGACGCGAAGCCAATGAAACTCCTAACCTCTTCCACCGAAGTGGGAGTCGGCCAGGAGCTGACGCACTGCGTTTTGGCGGGATCGGTAGCAATACCTGAGCGTCCCACGATGTGTCCCAAATAACGCACCGATTCGCGTAACAGATGACATTTTTGGGGTTTGAATTTCAAATTAGCAGCCCGCATCTTTAGGAAAACCGCCCGCAACCTCTGGAGATGTTCGTCAAATGTTTTACTAAAGACGATAACGTCATCCAAATAAATCAAGCACGAGTCCCATTGCAATCCAGCCAAAACCAATTCCATCAAACGCTGGAAAGTTGCCGGCGCTGAGTGGAGTCCCATCGGCAACCGGTTGAATTGGAAGAGGCCGTGCGGTGTACGGAAAGCAGTTTTAGGCTTAGAATCATCATCCAGAGGAAGCTGCCAGAATCCCGAAAGTAAATCCAATGTGGAGAAGAATCGCGCTCCCGCCAAGGCGTCAAGCGATTCGTCCATCCGTGGGAGCGGGTATGCGTCGGCAACCGAAATTTTGTTAAGGCGCCGAAAATCAACGCAAAACCGCAACGAGCCGTCCTGTTTCTTAACTAGGACGATCGGCGCTCCCCAAGGGCTGGTGGAAGGAGAAATGATGTCGGCGGCTAACATGTCATCAACAGCCGATTTGACATGGTCCTTTTCAGCGGGACTTAACCGAAAAGGATTCTGGTGTATTGGCGCGCTGTCACCCGTATCAATATGGTGACGCAGCAGATGAGTGCAGCCCAAATCGTATTTGTCCCGACTGAAAACGTCGGAAAATTCCCGCAGTAATGTTTTAAGTTGTTGACGCTCTGAATTTGACAGGTCCGTCGATCCCGCACAAAGCGCCTCGAGCCACCCTTCATCGCTGTCCGAATGTGGTCGCGGCGCAGGGACAGCGCTGACGTGATTCGCGACGGGTTCCTCACAGGGCACCGGCGTTGCGTGAGCAAGCACGGTCCCCTGTGGGACCACCACCGTCTGCGAGCCCACATTGAGGACCGCGATGAAGGGGTCTCCGTCCCCTCTTACTATGGTCTGGGCCGGAAGTAAATGAGGTCCACTAACCCCGGCCCTAGAAGGCCCCAGCAGAACCCCTTGGGCCCCAATGCCCTTAGCGAAGGGCCGCCGAAGTTTCAAAGGAATCAACATTTGTGCCCCCGGAGGAACGCGCACCGTTCTATCTACGAACGCCGGCACCGTCGCGAACGCCGTCCGACTCGTAACGGGGGATGGCAGAAACGCCATGCGTCGGCCCGACGGGAGCTCAATGCATCCCTGGTCAATTAATATCCTAATCGGCATTTTGGCCAGGAAGTCCGTCCCCAGCAGGCACGGAACCGCCAGCGAGGAGGAAACAAAAATCGGCCCAGACAATTTAATATCCCCGATACAAATTTGGGCTCGAATTTGTCCAATGATGCCAAGTGAGCCTCCATTAGCAGCATAGAATGGCACGTTAACGGGCATCAAAGGACGGCTCTGGACAGGGAGAATATTGTAAATTAACTCCGAAATAATGGTCGCCGATGCTCCCGTATCGACCAGGATGCGCACCTCAACCCCGTCGATGTGCCCCACAACGGCAGACGACCCCGACGATGCGGCTAGAACGTGATGGGCCAACACGGACCACTGGCCGGGTTCGATATGAGTACCCAGAGTGGTGCGTGTTGGTGCGATGGTGCGCGATATCGGCCCCCCATTCGCTGCGGTGTTTGAGTGTGTGACGGGCGTGTGCGTGGGCCAAACATGAGAGGTGCCGCGACTCGCCGGGTTATGATGGTGGAGCTTGTGACGAGGGCCGGCGTCCCGTTGAGGTGTCGTCCCGCGCTGCCGAGGAGAGCGGCACCCCGAGGCGACATGGCCCCGGATGCCGCAGTTGTAACAGCGCGGGAGCGCTGGCGACGACGATGGATGGTCGAGATGGCTTGAACCGCCCCGGTCCGCCCGTACTCCTGCTCCCTGCTGCCGTTGATGGTCGATGGCGCAAATCTCTTCCGCCGGGAGGGCAGCTGCAGCCACGGCACGCCCGCTCGCCGCCTTGCTGGCCTTCCGTCGTTGTGAGCACAGGTTTGCGTGGAGGAGTCGGGCCGCTTGGAGGGAGCACATCTCCGCGTCGTCCTGTGCGACGATGACGATATCTAAGTCGTCCGCCAGCAGGAGTATCTTCTCCGTAACCATGGCGTCGACACCTTCGTTGTCCATCCGTGGAAAGGCCGCCTTTGCCAGTGCCAGGAGGCTTATGCGGTACGCCAGGGGCGACTCCTTTGCCCCCCGCTGGCGATCGTAAAAGAGTTGCCGACAGTCCGACGGCGGACCGTATACTGCAGACAGCACTTGCATCGCCTTCTGCAGCGTGGAGCGCCTCTCCTTCGGTGCCGATGTTAGAGTGGCGAGGGCGTCGCTGTCGAGGAGTGCCGGCAGCGCGCGGAGAGCCTCGGCGTCCGTCCACTGCGCCATCTCCTGGTGAGCGAGGAAGCGCCGCTGGAAGCCGCCCCAGTTGCCTTCCTCGCCCACAAATTCTTTGAGTGGAGGTAGGCGCTGATGTAAGGCAGCTGCTGCCGCGGAAGATCGCACTCCCTCGTCCCCCTCACCCGGCTCTGCCTCGGCGCGAACAACCGATGGCATCGCCGGTCGCACCCGTGGTGACGTTCCGTCCGTTGGCGATGACGCGGCAGGTACTGTACTCCCGCCGTTGGACGCGATGCTCAGACCGGCCACGCCCTCAACAGCAGCTGCGGCGATGGCGGGATTTTCAAAGCGGTGCTCCGTCGAAATGGCGGGAAGGCGCTGAGGTGGTTGGCTGCCGTCGCTCCGTGGCGGTCCAGCAGCCCCCAGCTGTGTGATGCGGTCCAGCATGGCGGCAGCGGCGTACAGCAGCTCCGCCAGCTCAGCGTGCGCCCGCCTCAGGCCCTCTGTCGACGGCTCCCCATTCTCCTGTTGCCGCGGTGTGGACGCCTCGGGCCCCGACTGCTCTGTGCTTTCTTCAGGCGTCCCGGGCTCCCCGACTGCAACGGTGTCCTCCCCCTCCGGTACCCTAACTCGAGCTGTCCGGCGCGTGTCCATGTTCGTAGATTTTTACTTCTGACACCAGATGTAGTAGTGTTCACGACTCTTGGACGCCGGAGTTGGAGGCACACGGGTTTATTACACACAGCACGGTTGTGACATACAACACTAGAGGGGGTGTCGGCCCCCTCACCCGGCTAGCTGGGGATACACGCGCTAGCTACTTCTAGCCTGCCTCCTAGTCCTCCTCTAACGGGCTAGGGGAGGCTGTCTTGCCCGACACTGGTAAGTCGGGCCCGGTACCCTGAGTCCCAGACCAGCTCTGACAAGAGCACCGGCTCTGGACCTCGGGACCACGCCGCTGGCTCGGTCCTGTTCGGCCCTGATAAGGACGGCGAACCAGGGGAGTCCAGGGCTCTAGCTAAGACGTCTTCAGTCTTCACTGGTTAGCTTAACATGACTCCCGAGCCCTTTGATACATCCCCTTTTATACCCGACCCCCCGCTGAGGGGTGGGGCCCCGGGGGATCATAACTACGAATCAGCCCCCCAGGGTGCCTGGCGCGGACGTCGTAGAGAGCATCTCCCCGTGCACTCACGTAGTCCCGCCTACTGTGTTTGTTTGCCATAAGCTGCCATGCATAACGGGCTCTCTCTCTAACACCCCTACACTATGTTAGCTAATTTTTCTTAAATAAATATTCCTGTCGTAGCTAGACAACCAAAATTGTGTGCTTGGAGTTTTTAGTAAACATTAATTTTGAAGACACTAGGGCAGGGGTCCTCAAACTACGGCCCGCGGGCCACATGCGGCCCGCCGAGGACATTTATCCGGCCCGCCGGGTGTTTTTGCCGCCGCTGCCTGTCTGTTACTTTTTTCTGCATGAGAAGGACGGTCATTGGTGGAAGAGGGAGAGGGGGCAGAGTACCCCCCAATCAGACTGCATTGATGGGCAGTGCAGTCTGTATGTCTCTGTGTGGGCAAAGTTATTGCTGGTATATTGTTTTTGTAGCGCTGTATATATATTGGTATTTTACTAATATCAATTTTGACTCCCTAGGAAACAATGATGTCAAGAAAGAGAAAAATTTACTCGGAGTGTAGGATAGTCAAAGAACAGTGGACTTATGATTACTTTTTCATGCAGTACAAGGAAAGAGCTGTGTGTCTGATATGCCAGAATATAGTGTATGTGTTCAAAGAATACAATTTACGTCGACACTATGAAACTTAAAACTGAAAAATACATTAACAACTCAGCAAAATACTTTTGTGAAGCAGAAGCAGCTAAATATTTCATCACTGCGAGCAAGTTTTCAAGTTGCCAAGCTAATAGCGTGCACTGGCAGACCATTCGTGGAGGGAGAATTTGTTAAAGAATTCCTTCTTTCTGTTGCCAAAGAGATGTGTCCAGAGAAGGCCGATTTATTTAGTACAGTGAGTCTTTCAGGACCTACAATTACACGGAGGATTGAAGAAATGGGAGACAATTTGCATCAGCATTTGCAAAACTCCACAAAAAAACTTTCCTATTTTTCCTTGGCACTCGACGAAAGCAATGATGTTCGTGATTCTGCACAACTTCTAATTTTTATTCGTGGGACGAATGACTATTTCGAAGTCACAGAAGAGCTTGCTGCACTGCAAAGTATCAAAGGAACAACTACAGGAGAGGATATCTATGAAAAGGTTTGCCAAACTGTGAATGGTTTGGAGCTGAACTGGGCTAAACTAGCCAGTGTGACAACTGATGGTGCTCCTAGCATGGTGGGGTCTAAGAAAGGAGTAATTGCTCGCATTAACCAAGAGATGGACAAACATAACCATTCTCATCCAATAGCCATACACTGCCTCATCCACCAACAAGCGCTGTGTAGTAAATCACTGAAGTGGGACTCTGTTATGAAAATTGTGGTATCTTGTGTTAACTTCATTAGAGCTCATGCACTAAACCACAGACAATTTCAGGAATTTCTGTCTGAGCTAAATGTTGACTATGAAGATGTTCTGTACCACACAGAAGTCCGTTGGCTGAGTCGAGGGAGAGTTTTGAAACGTTTCAATGACTTACTTCCACAGATTACAGCTTTTCTGCTTTCAAAAAACAAAGAAGTACCAGAGCTCAATGATGCAGAATGGAAATGGCACCTTGCCTTTCTGACAGATGTAACAGAGCTACTCAACAGTTTCAATGTGCAACTTCAAGGAAAGGGGAAGCTCATCTGTGATATGCAATCACATGTCAAAGCATTTGAAGTAAAATAAGGCCTCCTCATCAAACAAGTAAAGGAGGAAAACTTCTGCCATCTCCCCACAACTCAAAATCTGTTAGCAGAAAAACCATTGGTTGCATTCCCAAACAAAACATGTGTGGATTCATTGGAAAAATTGCAAAAGGCGTTCCAATTTCGATTTAAAGAGCTTCATCTCCATGAACAGGACATACAGCTTTTCCGTAACCCATTTTCTATTGACATTGAAAATGTGAATACAATTTACCAAATGGAACTGGCTGAACTGCAGAATTGTGACTCTCTGAAAGACGCATTCAAGTCAAGCAGCCTTCATAATTTCTATGCATCTCTCCCCTCTGAGACATATCCTCATCTCAGGAACCATGCACTCAAAATGGCAACCATCTTTGGCAGCACTTATGTCTGTGAACAGACTTGTACCAGAATGAAACATTTGAAATCTCCAACCAGATCTAGACTAACGGATACACACTTGCATCACTTGTTACGACTTGCAGTGACAAATATGGAACCGGACATTGACCATCTCATTAGCCAAAAGCAGGCCCATAGTTCCCATTGAAATACTGGCAAGTTTGTTGATTTAACTTTACTTGTTCTTCATTTTAAATATTGTATTTGTTCCCGTTTTGTTTCTTCACTTCAAAATAAGATATATGCAGTGTGCATAGGAATTTGTTCATAGTTTTTTTTAACTATAGTCCGGCCCTCCAACGGTCTGAGGGACAGTGAACTGGCCCCCTGTTTAAAAAGTTTGAGGACCCCTGCACTAGGGTGTCCAGGCATATTTATGACCATTTGCCCTCGCATTGTGTGCCTTGACAGCCCTTTGTGATGAATTGGGGAATCTCTTTCACTATATCATGAAAATATGAATATTTATAGATGTGTAAGTCATGTGTGACTGTGTATATATGCATTCCTCTGTGCCTCAATACTCACATAGATGGTGTGGACATGCTTTTCTGTTTGCAGCTGACGCTCTCTGCAGAATTGGCCTGATGGAGCAAAGGCACTCAGCGCAGTTCAGTACAAGAAGGAAACAATGCGACCAGCATGCAAACAGCACGGATCGTACTGGAAACTTGACACAGCACCAGAGAACACACACAGGAGAGAAACCCTTAGAGTGCTGTGTGTGTGGGAAGGCATTTTCAGATTCATCTACTCTTAAACAACACCACAGAACACACACAGGAGATAAACCTTTTAAGTGCATTCTGTGTGGGAAGGCGTTTGCAAAGTCATCAAATGTTAAGACCCACCGGAGAACACACACAGGAGAGAAACCTTTTAAGTGCAGTGTGTGTAAAAAGGTGTTTGCACGGTCATCCATTCTTAAATCACACCAGAGAACACACACAGGAGAGAAACCTTTTAAGTGCACTCTGTGTGGGAAGGCGTTTGCAATGTCATCAAATCTTAAGATCCACCAGACAACACACACAGGAGAGAAACCTTTTAAGTGCACTCTGTGTGGGAAGGCGTTTGCAAAGTCATCAAATCTTCAAACCCACCAGAGAACACACACAGGAGATAAGCCCTTCAAGTGCAGTGTGTGTGGGAAGGCATTTTTTGATTCATCTACTTTTAAACAACACCAGAGAACACACACAGGAAAGAAACCTTTCAAGTGCACTGTGTGTGAGAAGGCGTTTGCACGGTCACCATATCTTCAAAGACACCAGAGAACACACACAGGAGAGAAACCTTTCAAGTGCACTGTGTGTGATAAGGCGTTTTCACAGTCATCACATCTTCAAAGACACCAGAGAACACACACAGGAGAGAAACCCTTCAAGTGCACTGTGTGTGAGAAGGCATTTTCATGGTCGTCATATCTTCAGACCCACCAAAGAACACACACAGGAGAGAAACCTTTTAAGTGCAGTGTGTGTGGGAAGGCGTTTGCAAAGTCATCAATTCTTAAATCACACCAGAGAACACACACAGGAGAGAAACCTTTCAAGTGCACTGTGTGTGAGAAGGCGTTTGCAAAGTCATCAATTCTTAAATCACACCAGAGAACACACACAGGAGAGAAACCTTTCAAGTGCACTCTGTGTGGGAAGGTGTTTGCAAAGTCATCAAATCTTAAAAAACACCAGAGAACACACACGCATCAGAAAATCCACAAGAAGTGTAATCTGAAATCAGCTTGTGAAAGTCAAAGTGCTGCAATGACCCCATTGTTCATGAAACAAGAACCAGAAGACAACCCTAGCCTGGACACTTTGAAAGGTATCAAGGTGAAATATGAAGAGGCGAAGGTGAAATGTGAAGAAGTAACAGTGAAGAGCGTAGAAGTGAAGATTAAATTTGAAGATGATTCAACTCCAAAATCGGACCTTCACATAGATGGAGGCAGTGTGAAGCAGGAACTAAATTCTTACTGTGAGGCAGAGCGAGGCAACTCCCAGGAGTTTGTGGATGTGGAGGTGTGGGTGGACTTCTTAGACAATACAATGTCAAATGGAGACCAGGTAGATGTGCAAGCTTGAGACAATTAAGCTCCAATGGATGCACGTTTGTCACAGGCCTTTCTAATGAATAGACACTCGAAGGGTGCCCATAATGGGCATCTGCCCCTGTGTGCCACAAGGTGACCGTTCACTGGCTTGCATGTGGATATGAGTTTGTAAGTCGGGGGCGATGATTGATATACCAGTCGGATTTGAACCTTGAACCTCTGCAACAAATAGAGAATGTACTACTACTTGGCTTCCCTTTATGAGAGTGCTGCACATATAGGCATCATCTCGTCAGATCAACTTGTAAATACGTTGCAACGTGACGCAGTACATTTCAGTATAGTAATAAAATGTTGCCAATGTGCCCTTTGATTATTTTGAATCATAATTGAAAGAATACCTGTCTGATTTTGTACGTACATACAACATTTTGTGTATTAATGTCAAACAGGGAATATGTGATGTCAGGACAAAGTATCTGTTTTGGTGGTAACATGTACAAAAACTCACGTGAGAGCTGTTATTTTTGTGATACGGGTCAAAGGGTATTTTTGTGAATCAGGACGCATCTGACTGGGGCAACTCATTGTCTTTGAAATCGGGAGCATAGTCGGATCATTCATCAGTTAAGGTATGCCACTTATAAGTTACGTATAGGAGATACATTCTCCACAAGACCACTAATTATCATTTTGTACTACGTAAACATTTTGTCGAACTGAGACTTGAAATGGACCTTGCCGATGAACATCAGTTGAAACAAGCCGGACTGTTGAGACATTGTACACCAAACCAGTCCACAGGTGGCTTGTACTGAACACATGTGTAGTGCCATAAGAGAGGAGGGGCTGCTGGGGGCTCTAGGATCCTAGGCAGATAAGCCCTCGGCGCCAGGCGCTAGGATCCCAGGCACCCCAAACAGTTAAGCCCCTTGGCGCCACCAACGGGGGGGGGGGGGGGGGGGCTGTGCGTGCTCTGTGGGATATCTGGGGGCGCACAACCCCCACCCCTCGTTGGGGACGAGGCATAAAAGGGCAGCTCCCTGGCCGATCGGGGCCAGTTGCAGCTCAAGACCCAAGACCAGCCAGCTTAGGACCCTGGACCCCCTCGTCCCGCTTGTCCTTGTATGGGCCGAGATGCTGTGAGGGCCAGTGGTGGGACTCTGGGACTCCCGGCTCTACGTCCTTGTAAGGGCGAGTTCCGAGGAAACCAGAGTCAAGACCCGCACCTTGGCTGGGTCAAGTCAATTAGCCTCCCCTAGGGTAATTGCAGCCGGAGGACCCCAGAGCGTAGCCAGAGTAGTGTATCTAGGCTGTGTACCTAGGCTGTAACAGAGTATCAGGACTGTTGGAGTGTTGTATTGTAATAAAGAAGATACCTCTACAAGTGTCTCCGGAACCCATTACACATGCATTCCTAAAGGCCGTGGTATTTATAGTTTGTGTAAAACATTCCTTTGTTTTGTGTAGAGAACGTTCAATGAAAGATGTCTGCCGATCTGTTTTTTCGCAAGGAGGTACTTTAAAGAACACATTTGAAGGCATCGTGGATTTTTGTTACAGATTTGTATTCTAGCCTAGAATTTATTGAATTTTAACTTCTATTTAAATAAAACTTTAGATATATCTGTCTGCATTGATATCCCACCTTGTTTACCACATGTTTACTTAAATATGTAGACGCTCCCTCTGAAGACGTCACCTCAAATTAACGAGTGAGTTACGTCAGGGCCTCCCCCTCTCTCTGGCTTGTGATGTCACCAAGAGCAGAACTCGCCTCCACGGAATCTAACGACTGCACTGTCTTGGAATGCATTTACACAGTAATGAAATCTTCACAACTGCCAGGGAACACACATTAAAAACCACTTAATGTACACTTGGAAGGCCTTTTGAATTGTCTTGAAACTGAAACACGCGTAAGGAGGTCTACAAGGAGCAGAGTCTGAGATTGACGTGTGAAATTTGAAGTTCCATAAGCCCATCTTTTGTGATTCAAGGACCCAATAAAGAAGGCAGGTGGGAAACGTCACCATTCGTGAAGGTGACCTGTGAAGGCTCTAGGGTTTGACTTCCAGGTCGCTAATGGAGCCCGAGACGAATCAGCCATTTGTGGATGTGGAGGTTTGCGAGGACTTTTCGGACAATGTAGAGAGTAGAAGCAGACAGCATGTGTGACCATAAGTGTTGGGTAGACCTGTAACCAAGAGCATGAAACATAGTTTCCCAATGTTTATTTCAATTGTTTAGTTTTTAGTTGATTTGGAATACAGTACTTATTTAAATTGTAATGTAAATTTTATTTGACGTTTACCTAACGCCATTACTTGGGTAAGGCTTAAGTATTGAATATCGCGTTTCTAGCTGTCGCGTGGCACTTTCCAAGAACGTAACCTCCGATATTCAAGGGGCGGCTGTATTTTCTGTCGATCGAGTACAGCGGGGGAGTACGGATTTTTACTAGAAACTAGATCTCTGCTTTCTTGATGTAATTAAGGCCTATGGTACCCTAAATAGGCGTGGTGCTTTGGGTTCCTTGATTTCGATGTCTCTGCCTCTGCTCACATTCGTTGAGGATTTTTATGATTTTGGGCAGGCCCATCTAAAGCTGTGTGACCAGGAGTTGGAGCCATTTCCTGTTCAACTCGGCTTGTGACAGAAATCCACTCTGGCCCAATGCATTACATTTGTAATGTGAGGTTACACCTGGATGATGATGATTGGCTCTGCTGACTTCAGCCTGCAACCAATGGGGAGTCGAGTTAGGGGCGTGGCCCTGGAGCCGTACAGTAGCTTCGGGAAAGTTCCAGGGGTGTGGCTGAGGATTGGCTGCGGGTCATCACGTGGGCCAGGGATTAAAAGGAGCGGAGAAGCCACGCTGGTGTCGTGGTCCGGAGCCTGCCACGTGGCGGGCCGCGGCAGTCTCTCTCTCGCTGTCAGCCAACAGCGTGAAGGAGCAAGGGAACTGGAGGAACGAATGTGGTGGAAGCTGTGAACGAAACTGAATAAAGAATTCTCAATTCACGACGTCTCAACGGGGTTTATTACACATCACATAGCATCTTCAATAATTATGTAGTTTGAGAAACTCACAATGGCCGTATAAATGAATTGCATTCGTCGCGGTTAAAAATAATATGCTTATCGATGACTGGTTATAGTTAAGGGATTATATTGATAGGAACGAAGTGAACCAGCCTACAATAGATTATATCGTCCGTCTGTCCGATGTCCGATTAGGTGTAGCAACATCGCCCCCTACTGCAAACACTTGGCAGGACCCTACAAAAACCTTTAGACTCAGTGAGGCTTTCCTGGCTAAACAAGTGTAACATTCCCTCATAATTCCCTGATATAGCTTTTAATTAAAACATTTAAATTAAAAATTAACTCACAGCGGCCTAAAGCCTACAGCTAGGCCTAAAGCCTAGAACTAGGCCTCAAACTCTCCCTTCGTATTGTACCCCCGCCATTTCATTTTATTATAGCCATTCATTTGTGCGTTCCTACCAGCCCACCCCGCAGGGACCTGTTTCCCTGCTGGTCAGTCCTGTTGCATCTGCTGATGATCTGGTAATGGCTACTCAATGAGATGGCTGGCTGAGGTGCCATCTCTTGTTTTGCCGGACACAGTAACAAGAACAACAACTGCCATTCGCCACTAAGTGGCGGTCACGTCACCATGGGGCTTGTGCCAAGCTATGTGCACGGGGTAGAACCAGGTGCCATGGGTCGACTGACTCAGTTGACTGGCCGATGCACCACCTGTACCCCCGACTGTGCCAACACACAGTGTACACACACACCGTGTACACGCACAGGGTACACACACACAGTTTGTACACACACAGTGTACACACACACATTGTATACACAGTGTACACACACTGTACACACACACACAGTTTGTACACACACAGTTTGTACACACACACAGTTTGTACACGCACAGGGTACACACACACAGTTTGTACACACACAGTTTACACACACACAGTGACGTCACCGCTCATTAACTCGTCGGCGTGAGACGCCAGGGAAAGCTGTTCCCCGCTAGTGACGTCATGTCACCAAGATATTCAATCCCACCCCCTCCACCGCGCTTTTGACTGGCGGTTCATTAACATAATTTATTCATGAAAACAGTCGCTATTTCATTGCGACGGGTTCAGCAACCAAGGCCAATCACCCCACGTGGGCCCGGCTCATTAACATAATTTATTCAATTACACCGCCGCTCGTTGGGGGAGGGGATTGTGTGGTGAACCCCGCTAGTGACGTCATGTCACCTCCTGCTGCCGCGTGACGTCACGAGACACCAAGAAGCTGCCAGTCCACACGCGCGCTCACTGAGATCCGAGGTGAGAAGTTGACATCGTGGTGGTTGTTGTTGTGGTTGTTGTTGATGTTGTGGTTGTTGTTGTTTACCCAGGTAGAGCCTCGCTCCGTCTCTCTCGTAGGGATATCAATTGAGTAGCAGCGAGGATGGAATCGATGTCCAGTTTGGAACATTACAACGCGGGGCCTAGCCATGCGGGGCCTTGCCTCCTGCCCTCGCCTGATTGCATTTGCTTTAATTCTCTGTTCTTTCGGTAAAGTCACGTAGAAGGGAAATAATAAAATAATAAAAATAAAACATAATAAAATAATTCTCACGACGTTTCGGCCACAACGCAAGCAGCCATTCTTCACCTGAGGAGGGCTGCTTGCGTTGTGGCCGAAACGTCGTGAGAATTATTTTATTATGTTTTTATTTTATTATTTCCCTTCTACGTGACTTTACCGAAAGAACCAATCAGATGAATCCCTGCAGTCACGAAAGCTTTACATTGAAATTTAATTATCTGCTTAAGTTTAATTTGTCTTCATCTGGCTCACTGCTTCATGGTACCTCCTTTGCCAGTAGCAACATATAAGAAGAGGTTTCTCCACCTTTTTTTGGCAACTAAACAGGTCTTAAGGTTCGATTTAAAGCTTTCGTGACTGCAGATCTTAAGGTGTTAAAACACCGAACTGAGACCTTTAGCAAGGAATCATGTTCTTAGGTTTTTCGGTAAAGTCACGTAGGTAAAACATTAAAATTTAATAAAAGTAAAATAAAAATCACGACGTCGTGATTTTTATTTTAAATTTAATAAAAGTAAAATAAAAATCACGACGTCGTGATTTTTATTAAAATAAATTTTAATGTTTTACCTACGTGACTTTACCGAAAAACCTAAGAACATGAATCCTTGCAGTCACGAAAGCTTCAAATATTTAGCAAGGAATCATGTGTGCATTAACCACAATACTTGTGGTCAAAATGCGTCCTCTGGTCTAACACCGTTTGAGACGAGGCTCAAAAGAAAGCTGTCTCTGTTGTGGACAAATCAGTTTCAAGGACAATGCATATATTATCAGAGTATGTGTTTTGTTTGCATTCTGACCACAAGCAGTGCGGTTAATGCACACATGATTCATTGTAAAAGGTTTCAGTTTGGTGTTTTAACATCTTAACACACCTGTTTTGTTGCCATAGAAAAGGGGAACACCTATTATCATATTTTGGTACTGGTAAAGGAGGTCCCATGATGAATTTAGTTATCTTCTTTGCCCGTAGTGGTGGCAGCAGCAGCAGCGAGACGTTCAGAGACGTCTGCTGCTGTTTTTTCTGGCAACAAAACAGGTGTTAAGATGTTAAAACATCAAACTGAAACCTTTAGCAAGGAATCACGTGTGCATTAACCACAGATAACACTGGTCAGCACACTTTATCATTTACTAGCGTTAAGTACCCGGCGTTGCCCGGGCGAAAAAGCCAGACAGACAAATGGACTTACACACAGACATCGACCCACACACATAGAAACACATCGACTTAGATGCACACACACACACATATATGGTTAAACCCAGGATGGATCGTTAGCAGGCCAGCCTAAATGTTTCCAACCGGCGAAGATGCTTCATTAGGGGGGTCCACGTTTCGCAAGCGTAGAGAAGGGAGGGAATAACCGTGGCCGAAAAGACCTGAAGCTTCGTGTGGAGCGAGAGACCAGGTAGCTTCCACACAGCGTTACGCAACCGATGAAAAGATAATGGCGCTCGACTGATTCGGAGTGAGACCTCTGCTGTTAAACTGGAACCGGTCATGAGCACACTGGCCAGGTATGGAAATCTCTCCAAACTCTCCACTATTCCAACGGTGTTAAGGTAATTTTGGGGTGCTGATTCCAAATCTGGCATCAGTTTTTGTCTATCACATCGGGTTGTTGAGATATCAAATATTGAATTTTCAATAAAAAACTGCAGAAGAAAAAGATTAAATAAATGTGGATATCTACATAAAAAGATGATATTATAAACACACTATCCTAAAAATACAGCACCATATTTTAACACTAAAGCAGTCACTGACTCGCAACAACTTGCAATCATAAGTGACAGTTAATTTCGGGTAAAATCGGTATGACTCCAAAAGGCGTCATCTGGTCGAATAGATTTATACAATTTTTCGTCTAGGAATATTTTTTGTATACGATGTCTCCCTGTTTATTTCTATTTTTAGTTTAGTTGGAATACAGTCCAGTACTTATTTCAGTTGTGATGTTGTGAATTTTTAGTTGACGTTTACCAAACGCCATCACTTAGATCAGTCTTCAGTTTAGAATGTTGCGCTTTTAGCTTTCGCGCGGCAATTTCCAAGAACGTAACCTCCGCTATATGCAAATTTTGCTGTATTTTATGTCTATTGATACAGCAGAGGTGTACGGATTTTCAACAGAAGCAAGATCTCTGCATTCTTGATTTAATTAAGGCCTATTGTACCATACAGAGGCTTGGGGCTTTGGGTTGTTATTTGTTTTCAAATCTATACCTCTTCACACCTCTTAAATTGCGACAGCCTTTGCTAAATTTCAATTTAAAGCTTTCGTGACTGCAGGGATTAATCTTCTTGGTTCTTTCGGTAAAGTCACGTAGAAGGGAAATAATAAATATTTTTATTAATTTATTATTTCCCTTCTACGCGACTTTACCGAAAGAACCAAGAAGATGAGGTCACGTAGAAGGGAAATAATAAATATTTTATTCTTTTATTATTTCCCTTCTACATGACTTTACCGAAAGAACCAATAAGATAAAGTCACGTAGAAGGAAAATAATAAATATTTTTATTATTTCCCTTCTACGTGACTTTACCGAAAGAACCAAGAAGATGAAGCCTTTGCTATGTTAGCTGAATTTTGTTTTTATAAATATTCCTTTTGCAGCCGAAATTGTGTTCTTTGTGTTTTGGGTTAACATTTATTCTTAAGATACTAGGGCTTTTACAGGCATATTTATAGGCCATTTGCCCTCTCATTATGTGCCTTCATGGCCCGTGTGATGAATTGGAGAATATCTTGAATAAATTAATAAATGTAGACGTGTAAGTCATGTGTGACTGTGTATATATTCATTCCTCTTGTGTCTCGATACTAATGTAGATGGTTCTTCTTGGTTCTTTCGGTAAAGTCACGTAGAAGGGAAGTAATAAAATAATATGAATAAAACAATTCTCACGACGTTTCGGCCACAACGCAAGCAGCCGTCCTCAGGTGAAAACCAGGTCTGTCGAGGCAACAGCGTCTGAATGAAACAGCACACGTGCTTGGAGCATATATATATATATATAAGCTGGGTTGGAAAGAACCAAGAAGATGAATCTCTGCAGTCACGAATAGCTTTAAATCGAAATTTAAATCGAAATGTAGATGGTGTGGATATTTTTTTGTGTCTGCACCTGACGCTTCCTCTGACGTTTCTTCTGCAGAATTGGTCTGATGGAGCAAAGTCACTCAGCGCAGCTCGGTACAAAAATACAACAATGGGACCAGTATGCAAACAGCACGGATTTTCCTGGAAATTTGACACGGCACCAGAGAACTCCAACAGGAGAGAAACCCTTCAAGTGCACTGTGTGTGAGAAGGCATTTTTATATTCATCACATCTTAAAATACACCAGAGAACACACACGGAAGAGAAACCCTTCAGTTGCTCTCTGTGCGGGAAGTCTTTTGCACTGTCAGCACAACTTAAACTACACCAGAGAACACACACGGGAGAGAAACCTTTCAAGTGCACCGTGTGTGAGAAGGTATTTGCATGGGCATCAGGTCTTCAGATCCACCAGAGAGCACACACAGGAGAGAAACCCTTCAAGTGCACTGTGTGTGAGAAGGCATTTTTAGATTCATCACGTCTTAAATTACACCAGAGAACACACACGGGAGAGAAACCCTTCAGTTGCGCTCTGTGCGGGAAGCCCTTTGCACTGTCAGCACAACTTAAACTACACCAGAGAACACACACGGGAGAGAAACCTTTCAAGTGCACCGTGTGTGAGAAGGTATTTGCATGGGCATCGGGTCTTCAGATCCACCAGAGAGCACACACAGGAGAGAAACCCTTCAAGTGCAGTGTGTGTAAGAAGGCATTTTCACAGTCATCAAATCTTAAAATACACGAGAGAACGCACACAGGAGAGAAACCAGACAAGTGCAGTGTGTGTGGGAAGGCATTTTCAAGTTCATTTTATCTTAAAATACACCAGAGAACACACACGGGAGATCAACTCCTCAAGTGCACTCCGTGTGGAAAGACGTTTCCACAGTCACCACAGCTTCAGAGACACCAGCTAACACACAGGCATCAGAAGACCTCCAAGGAGCGGAGTCTGAAATCGACTTGTGAAAGTGCTGCAATGAGTCCATCCCTCCTGAATGAAGAACCAGAAGTGAATTCCAGCTTGGACATTGTGAAATGTATCAAGGTGGATTTTGAAGAGGTGAAATGTGAAGAAGTGATGGTGAAGAGCGAAGATGTGAAGGTAAAATGTGAATATGAAGACTCAACTCTAAAATGGGACCTTCACATCGATGGAGGCAACGTGAAGCAGGAGGAGAATTCTGACTGTGAGGCAGAGCGAGGGAACTCTCAGGAGTTTGTGGAAGTGGAGGTGTGGGTGGACTTCTTAGACAATACAAAGTCAAATGCAGACCCGGTAGATGTGTAAGCTTGAGACAATGAAGCTCCAATAAATGCACCTTTGTCACAGACTAAAAGAACACCAAAGAAAGTACTGTCTGTGAAAATACATTTGCACGGTCATCAGTTCTTCAGATCCACCAGAGAACACACGGAGAAACCCTTCATGTGCAGTGTGTGTGGGAAGGAATTTTCAGGTTCACCTGCTCTTAAAAATCACCAGAGAACACAGGTGTAATGATTGTGGTGTCGCTGCTGTGTACAGACGCACACGTGTGACGTCACTGCGTTACTATCACGTGGGTCTACACACACACATGACGTCATCCCGGCTGGAGGTGGGAATGACGTCAGGGCCGGTGCTGGACACGTGACCGAATCCGAGTGGGGGGCTGGGGGCCAAGGGGGACCTCGGGGGGCACGTGGACAGCAGGGGGGCTTCGAGAGGGTGCTCGAAGGGTGGCGTGGCCGGGGTGAGGCCGGGCACGCCGAGGCCCATATAAGCAGCCTCCTCAGGGGGTTCGAGGCTGCCCGTGCTGAGAATGAAGACGCCTCGTGAAGATGCCAAGAAGAGAAGGCCTACAGTGAGCGGACCGCCAGCAGCCACCTGGCTGGGTCACACTAGAGTAGCTAAGAGAGAGAAGTGTGTGTTAGCTAGGGTAGGTCGGTGGTCACACCCTATGTGTAAAGTAAGAGTAACTGTTGAGTCATTGTTGTGTTCATTAAGAAATGAGTGTTGTCTCCCAAGAAGTGTGTGTGCCTAATATGAACCCATTACACAGGCATCAGAAGATCCCCAAGGAGCAGAGGCTTGTGAAAGTCAAAATTGCTGCCAGGCGCCCATCCTTAATGATAAGAACTACAAGAAAATCCCACCTTGGACACTTTAAAATGTATCAAGGTGAAATTTGAAGAGGCGTAGGTGAAATGTGAAGATGCGGCAGTGAAGAGCGACGAAGTGACGGTAAAATGTGAAAATGAAGATTCAACTACAAAATCGGACCTTCACACCGATGGAGGCAACAAGTAGCAGGAGGAGAATTCTGACTGTGAGGCAGAGAGAGGCAACTCCCAGTAGTTTGTGGGAGTGGAGGTGTGGCTGGACTTCTTAAACAATACAAAGTCAAATGGAGACCCGGTAGATGTGTAAGCTTGAGACAATGAAGCTCCAATAGATTCACCTTTGTCACATGCCTTTAATTAAAATAACGTGAAGTTGCACACTCAATTCCTAGGTTCAACCTGCAGAGCAAGAGCAGCCAGTATTTGTGGACATATGGGTTGGGTAGATCTCTAACCAGGAGTAAGAGCCAATAAGCGTCCAAGCATTCACTATATTATGATAATATTTGCATTCATGTGGAGCTTAATTGCCCCTAATAAGAACGCGTTAATTTCAATGTTTGGTGAAACCCGCCACTACGCGATTTGTTCTCCAACACACCGGTGTGCTGTACTAGTGTAGTGTAATAACGCCGATTGTTGTCCAGCAACGGCAACTGCGGTGGACAAATAATACACACGCCAGTGAGCATATACACGGGTTAGTCGGCAGGGCAGAAAAACTGGGGCAAGGGTCATGGAAGACCCCATCTGGAAGCTCCTGGAACCTGCTAGTGGTTTCGAGAAGGGAGGCGCGGCCAGGGCAGAGCTAGGCCACACTGGGTAGCATAAAAGCAGCTGAGAGTGGGATCTCAGGGCTGTCAGTTTTGGGAGTGGGCTCATCTCGTCGTGGCTGTCATCTTCGCCGCCTTCGTCAATACCGTCTTGGCAAGATATTGCACGGCCAGATAGTTGTTGGTTGTCTCGGTCAGCACCATTGGTGTTACATGGTCAGGGTTGTGTTTATAAGGTTGCCCGGGAAATTCAGGGCCACGAGGCCCGCCAGCATTGGCCCAAAGTGGAGGCTTGGCCGTGGCGGGAGGAGGACATGGTGGCTGTGGTGTGCGGCCTGGGGACGCACGGGAGAAGGCCCCCGCGGGTGGGTTGGTAACCGGCGAAGCCCCCTCCGCCTTGGGGTCCCACGGCCAAGTGTTTCAGGTGTGGTCAGCCGAGCCACATCGCCATAGAATGCCGAGGTGTCAGTAGGGTGCCGGCAACGCCACCGTAGCACTTCCGACCTGCCGGCAACATTTTCCCAAGCTGCACCGGATCCGAGTCTCTGATGCTTTCCGTGACTGCCGTGTGCAAAGTGTCAGGGGCTGGATCTGATTAGATGCTACTGCGGATTTCAGGGACGGGCCATGCCCTTAGGCCATTGTTTTTTTGTTCCCATTCCTCGGAATCCCAAGGAATGCAAAACCCTGCCAAGGTGGGGGTGACCAGTGTCGAGGACCGGCTCACGTGAGCTATGTTCTGGTAAAGGCGGACTCTCCCTTGTAAGGTGGGATTCGGGGGGGTGGTGTATATTGTTTGGCTTGTGTTATCGGTTCTCGTGGGGGGGGGGGGGGGGTGGTGTCACCGTTATGCTGTCCCTGATGGGGTTCTTGCCCATGCCGCAGTTGCGCTGCTTGTTGGCGGTTTGTGGGGGGGTGCCGCGGGTTGTTCTTTTTGTTGGCGGTCCGCGGGGGGCGCCGGAGTTGCGCTACGTGGTTATGGTTCGCGGGAGATGCTGCGGTTGTGCTGTATGGTCGCGGGAAGTATTGCAACCAAGGTTTTCTTTTTTGGGGTAAATTGTTTTTTCGTGTTGGTGGTGTTTCTCGGTGTTGGGGTTGCTCTTCCTGTCCACCGGTTGCAGTTGCAACGGCAACTGCGGTGGACAAACAGTGCACACGACGGTGAGCACATACACGAGTGTGTCGGCAGGGCGGAAGAACTGGGGCAAGGGTCATGGAAGACCCTATCTGGAAGCCCCTGGAACCTGCTAGAGGGTTCGAGAAGAAAGGCGCGACCAGGGCGGAGCCAGGCCGCGCTGGGTAGAAATAAAGCAGCTGACAGTGGGAGCTCACCGCTGCCGGTTCTGGGAGTGGGCTCGTATCGTCGTTGCTGTCATCTTCGCTAGATATTGCACGGCTGGATAGTTGTTGGCTGTCTCGGTCAGCACCATCGGTGTTACACGGTCAGGGTTGTGTTTAGGCTCGGCTAGACGACTAGAGAGAGCGCATTTATATTTTTGCAATCTAACCCAAAAAAAATCTTATGGATGATATTGGTCGCGAAAGCCTACGCGTTAAACTTGCTTAATTGCCTCAGCAATTCGGAGTTTTGTATCATATTTCATCACAAACACTCGAAGAGCACCCCTAAGTGGCAGCTGTCTCTGTGTGGAATAAGGTGGCCCAGCACCAGCCTGCATGTGGACATGAGTCTGTCAGTCAGGGGCGATAATTGATGTGTAATCTCAGTTTTGCAATTTCTGGATAATATTTGGAATTTCCCAAATTATGACAGTGACACCAACATGCAAAGACCTATGTGTTTTGAATGACACGATAGTATGTTTTACATCCACTCTTTAAGCAGACGGTGCATATTTTGGTTGATGTTACTGGAGTAGCCAGGGGTGCCTGTCGGATTTGAACCTTGAACCTCTGCAATAAATCGAGAATGCGCTACCAGTTGGCTTCCCTCAATCTGAGTGTAGGTATGCCAGCCAGTGTTTCTAACCAGCGCAGATGTTCCATTTAGAAGGGTGCACGTTTCACATTCCTATAGATTGGAGGGCATGACTGTTGCCGAGAAGACCCGGAGCTTCATGCAGAGCGACAGGCCAGGTAGCTTCCACACAGCATTGCAGAGCTGATGAAAAGATAATGCTGCCCGACTGATTCGGACCACCCAAACACTGTACACATACGCAGTGTAGACGTATTGTGTACACACAATGTATATACAGCTTACACACAGTCTGCACATACACTGTATACACAAACACACTAACAAAAACAATGACTGCCATTCGCCAATACGTGGTGGTGAAGTCACCATGGCGCTTGTGCCAGGCTATGTGCACGTTAAGGCCACGTGAAGTGTCGAACTCCCGCCGGCAGGAGGTCACAGGGCAGACTCAGGTGCCATGGTTCAACTGAGATGATTGGCCGATGCACCACCTGTGCCCCCTACTGTGCCAACTGTACACACACACGGTGTGCGCGCGCGCACCCCGTGTGTGTGTACACAGTTTGTATACAGGGGCCGTCCATAAATGACGTCACGCGATTTTGGACGATTTTGACCCCCCCCCCCTTCGTCACACGACGTCACAAAAAGTCAGACCCCCCCCCTCAAATATGACGTAACAAAGCTCTACCCACCCTCCCCCCCCCAAAAACATGCTTCAAATCAATTTAAACTATTGTCATTGCAGTGCGTATTTAATGTGGCACTACACTCTGATGTAGGAGAAAACATGTATTAAAAAGTATATTTAATTAAGTAGAACGTAATATAGGTTTTGGGGTCAGATCGCCTTATTTATGAATGTGTCGTAACCCTCCACCACCCGACACGGCCAAACAGTAAAAAATGTTTCACGTTTTTCAAAGGACAAAATAATTCGCTTTTTAGCCCACCGGTGTGCTGAAGATAGAATCAACAGCATTTTTTTTTTATTTGAATACGACTTTTCGCTGATAACTACAATCAGCTTCATCGGGCAAGAATGGTGAAGCTCTCCTGTTGCTTCCGGTCGTAAATAGAGCAGCATCAGGGTGACGTCATCATTTAATTCAATTTGATCTGGTGCAATGATTTGAGGCAAAGAGGGGGAGGGTATTGTAATTATATAGATTGGTAATCATTCAATTGTTATTCATTGGTATTTTTTTCCCTTATAAGGAATTGTAATTGTATTTATATAATAATACGCTTCCAGGCCACACTAAGCCTGTAGCTGTCAGAGCGATTGAAGTTATTTCTGTTTCAATTTCAATGGATTCTCTAATTAGTCTTGGCCAGTAATAATTAATTTTACACAACACTTCAACGTTATCAAAATCAATTGAGTGTTCTTGTTGACAAGCATGCTCTGTCACTGCCGACAGTTGTGTTTGAGATAATTTAATGTTTCTTTGGTGTTCTTGTGGGGGCCGTTGGCCCCCGGGTTCCCCCCCGCCATCATCCCCTATTCCGTTTATGTTACCCCACCTCCCTAATACCCTCTAGGGTTTCGCCGGCCTTCGAACGCGACGCCCCTACCCATACGGCTTCACGCAGCGCTCCCACGCTGCAAGCATACGTGCGCATGGCATCATCAATCAAACGCCATACTCCACCTCTTTACACCGCTACGTACAGCTCTCGCACGCTGCGAGTGTGCGCCCGTCTACAGCCCTGTGCGGCACTCGCCTCCACGTCGAATAACCACGTTACCAATGCGCACCCGTATCCGACACGCAGCGAACGTACGCGCACTCACGCACACAGCTCCCCGCGGCACTCGCTCACCACTGAATACCCCCGTTGTGATCGCGTACCTGTATCATACACGTAGTGAACACACGCGCACCCACACGCGCAGCTCCGCGCAGCGCTCACGTGGCGAACCACTGTGTACACAGTACCACACACGTTCACACCTCTCAACGAGATCACAGGCCGCGATCAGCTATTAATGATTTATTGTCCGCTACCTGGAACTAGGTGTTAAATCAGTGAGTCGACAAGGCTGGCCTACGCTGATACCTTTATACCTATTCCTGATTTATCTGCTATGATTCCAATTCACCTTCTTACTCACTGTTAGGTGCTCACGACGGTCCGTTGATCTCCTGCTCGCAGCGTACCGCGGTGCGTCTCACGGACGTCCGGGTCGCTGGGCTGGAGCTCGTGGTGTCGCCTGGTGCTGGAGTGAGACCGCGATCTCTCCCCTGCCCACCCTTTTTATCCTCCCCTCATCAAAGGGATGCGGCTCCGAGCGGGATGGCGGCCCTCAGCCTTTCCTTAACAATGGGCTCGCGCCCGCTAGCACGCGCACGGCGGTTCCGGGCGCCTGTGATATGCTAATCAATGTGCGGCGTGCGTGGCGTAAATTCTAATTAATCCTTTACCCTCCCTAACAATGGTGCCTGCGCGCTCAAGCGTAATTATCCCAACCATCCGTGACTATGTGCAAGAGCCCCTGCGGTCCCGCTACTCATGCTGTCCCGTCCCTCACCCGCTTGCCCCGTCGACACGTGGGTGGTGTGTGTGAGGGATGCGCTTCAACCGCGGTGGCCGAATGCCCCTCGCCGCGGCCATACCATCTTAAGGCCGGTCGCAGCGCCGCGGTGCAAAGTAGCGTTGGGGGAGGCCGTCCAATTCCCTGATCGCCGGAAACCGTGAGAGTTAATCCCGATAAGGGTTTCTCGGATAAAAACCGGTCAATCAGGTGAGCTCCCCTTCCAGCTCTATGGGGGGGGGGGGGGGGGGGAATGCGTGCAGGTGTGTTCATGTGAGGTGAGGTGAGGGGAACGAGGGGTTGGCTCCGTTGCTTGGTGGTGGCGAGGTCGGGGATGGGGCGCCTGCCGAACGGCTTCGTGGCGGTGGCATCACATAGCCCCCCGAGGTGCCAGTCCCCGTCACGGGTTGACTGGAGCACCTTGCTTGGGCCGCGCCCACGAGGAAACGTTGCGGGGTTCGGGGGATCCGTCCGGACCTGGTGGCTGGTCTCGGGGCGGGTGGTTCCGTCCTCTGTGGCTCCTGCGGTCCTGCGGCGGCCTCCTCCACTCCAGCGGCTCTCCCCGTCCTCCGGCACCTGTGGGCTGGGGCACAAACTCAGCAGCGGAAGGGTTTAGGGACCGTCGTCCGCGCCGTCTCCTGACTGAATCGGGGCGTCTCGGGGGCCTGGCGGGGCCCATGTAGTGTGCGAGGCCCCCCAACACGAGGGGTGCGGGTACCCCGGGATTTCGGGGCCTTCGGGCGACGGGGTTCTCTCTCGCCGGGGCCGCTTTCCATGGTTTTAAGCGGCGGACGTTGACCACCGTCTCTCGACCCCTCTCCCCGCCATAGATTAGTACCGTCCAGGGGGAGATCTGCCGTACCACGGTCCAGGGTCCCCGCCAGTAGGTCGTCAGTTTCCCCACCTGCCCGGCCCCGACGCGAGGGGTGTGTAGCCACACCTTAGCGCCGGTCAGGAATAAGGGGGGTTCCATGCGGGGTCGGGCGCCCTGTTCCTGCCGCCGATGCGCGGCTTCCCCTTGCGGGTATGCTCGGCCTCGGGCTTCTCGCAGGGTCTCCATCAGGTGTTCCACGGGGCGGCTTCCCTCCTCCGGCTGGGGGGAAGGAACGCCGAATATCAGATCTGCGGGTAAACGAGACTCACGGCCGAACATCATTAAAAACGGGGTTTGTCCCGTCGACGTGTGTACGGTGGTGGCGTAGGCGAAAAGGGCGTAGGGGAGGTGTTCATCCCAATCCCGTTGATTTGCGGCCGCCATACGTTTGAGTTTCCCCGCTAAGGTCTGATTCATGCGCTCCACCATACCATTCGCCTGGGGGTGGTACGCTGTGGTTCGGTCCTTCTGGATTCCGAACTCTCGGCACAGTGCCTGGAACAACTCGGCCTCGAACTCGCTACCCTGGTCGGTGAGGACTCGTTCTGGCATCCCGTGCTTAAGTACGTAGTGTTCCACGAATGCCCGGGCCACCACCAAGGCCGTTTTATCAGGGATAGCCACTGCCACGGGGTAGCGGGTGAAATACTCTACTGCGACTAGGATATACCGGTTGCCTCGATGGGATCGCGGGAATGGCCCCTGTAGGTCGATCCCGACCAGCTGATTCGTGCGGCTGACGCGGAACGGCCTTAGGGGTACCTGGTATTGTGCCGGTTTCGGCCCGCACTGCTGACAGGCGCGGCAGCCCTGTACCCAGGCCGCCACGTCTTGTGCCAATTTGGGCCAGAGATACTGGCGACGCAGGGTCTCTCGAGTGCGTCGTTCCCCATCGTGGCCCCCGAGTGGGTGGTCATGCACCAGCCGTAGCAGCTGGGGTCGCACCTGGGCAGGAACACAGATGCACCCCGGCTGGCCGGCCTCGGTTAACTCCCGTACCACCCCGTTCTGCACACACAACCGGCCATACAGACCGCTCCAGGGTCCTTGTAGGGCGCTCTTTTCCTCCCGCAGTGCCGCCTCCACCGCCGCCAGATCGGGATCTCGCTGCTGGGTCTGTCTCAGCTGCTCGTCGTTCAGGCCCGGGAAGGCGCAGCTGACGTCCTCCCGGATCCGTCCGATTGGGGCGGGGTGATCCGCCGGGTCCCGAGCCGTGGGTCCCACGCTTGCCGGGCGGTCGACGGGATCCTCGGTGCCACCTGTGAGGGTCTCCGTGGCGCACACTGCACTCTCTCTCGCTGGGGGGGGGTCAGTGGCCGCGGCCTCTCGGGGGTCCGTTGCCTGCCGGCAGCGTCCCCCCGTGAAACACGGGCAGGCCTCCTCCGCCCTTGTCTCGGCGTACACCGTGTGCCGCCTCGACAAGGCGTCCGCGTTTGCATGCGTCCGGCCAGCCCGATACTCGATTTGCAGGTTGTACTCCTGCAACTGCGCCAACCACCGGGCCATCTGCCTCCGCGGCTCCTTGAATGTAAGAAGAAACTGCAGAGCATAATGGTCAGTGCGTACGCGACATTTCCTGCCGTACAAATACGGCCGGAACTGCTTACATGCGAAAATCACGGCGTACAACTCTTGGCAGGTCACGCAATAGTTCAGCTCGGCCACACTCAAGGTCCGGCTGGCATACGCGATGACTCGTTCTGTCCCATCCTGTACCTGTGACAACACCGCGCCCAGCCCGCTGCTGCAGGCGTCGGTGTCCAAAATAAAATCAGTGGTAAAATCGGGGAAAGCGAGGGTGGGGGCGTGGGTGAGGTGATCTTTGAGAGTGGTGAAGGCCGTCTGGCAGGCCCCCGTCCACTGATAGGGGTGCTTAGGGGAGGTGAGTTGGGTGAGAGGGCGTGCAATCTCGCTGAATCTCTTTACAAATCGACGATAATAGGTGGCGAGCCCCAAAAATGATCTGATCTCCGTCAGATTCCTTGGCCGTGGCCACTCCACTACGGCACGTACCTTCTCCGGATCGGTACGCACGCCTGCCTTGCTGACGCGATGCCCGAGGTACCCCACCTCGCGTTGTGCGATGTAACACTTACATGGCTTGAGCTTGAGATGAGCCGCTCGCAGTCGCTGGAACACCTCTCGTAGCCTGGACCAATGCTCAGACAAAGATCTACTGAACACGATCACATCGTCCAAGTAAATCAGGCACTGTTCCCATTGCAAACCCCGCATCACCAACTCCATCAGCCGCTGGAACGTCGCGGGCGCATTGGTGATTCCGA